GGTTTAAATGATAGTATTTTTTATTCAGCTAATCGGACGTAATATTACATACTTATTTTGATTTGAATAACTTCTTCACGAGGGTTCAAATATATTAGAAGTAACTAATAACATGTACTTATCACTGAAACATCAAATGAACTATGTCTTACATATGTTTTACACAGTTTCACTGATTTCCTAATGATTCTAAAAGATCTATACAAGCTTCGTGTGAAGATATAAAGTCGGTGATATTTTTCATAGCCTATGTTTGTCAAGTATAAAAAAAGAGGCGAGATAAGGTCTTGAAAAATAGTTTTCCTAATTGCCTTTGGTAACATCAGCGTCAATTATAGTTCATTTCATAGATGAGTGTTCTATATATTTCAGTTCACCTACTGATTGGCATAGTATATTGATACGGAAGCGTTTCAAATTATTTGATCTTTAGAATGCGAAATGAGTAGATGTAATCTTTGTGGACCCTTTTTTCAGTTACAAGGTTTTAGTTATTTACTATTTAGGATTCCCAACCAGATTTTAGATGTCTAGTGGCTCCAGTATTTGAATGATTCTTCATCTGCTATCAGTCCTTGATGAAATATTCTTCTAAATTAAAAATCTCGAGAAACCGTAATAAATCAGAAAAGGGGATTTGGAAACAGTTTGCAACTGCTTCGATTATCGAAAGAGGGGAAAAGTGCAGCGCAAATTTCAGGAACTTACGAACTGATAAGCGGCCTTTGCCAGCAAATCTATTCTCATCATAAGCAATTCCGGATGTTTTAGTCTACTGAATGCTCAGCCGTTCATTTCATCAATGACAGTCCATGTTGGACCACAAGCTTTTAGTCACAAAGTCTAATAGTATTTAAGATGAACAACTAAAAGCTTTATTTATTAAAGCTTTGATAAGTATTTCAGGGATTTAAACAATTTCTATTACCCATAAAATCATTTTGTTGTGGGAAATCTTCAAGTAAGAAGAAAGTGCTAGAGATCTTAGTCACTTATGTATAAAACTAAAAGCACTCAGCTAAGCGTTAAATTGACTGTGTTAAATTGTCTAACTTAGTTGATCTAATTTTCGCTTTTCATATTACCAGATGCCTTTCTGGCACTGCAGATATTTAGTAAAAAACTTTATTTCGTTAAGATTCTTTTGAAAATATTCCTCTTATGTTCTCAAGTAAAATATTTATATATATACATGCGATTGTGTGGCTTGAGGAGTCGTCAAAAAATGTTGCCCTCCTTTGAATGTCTTTTGTATTGTGAATTACTGTCATTCAATTGTTGACAGACTCATTTACTTCAGAAGGGTGTTTGTCTAAATCTTTCTTCAAATATCCGCGAAAGTTATGCAGATTTACTCGTAGTATGGTTCATTAATAAGTGTTAGAGCATTTGACCATTGACTGAATCCAACTACGACTGATGTCCAGGCCCCTAACAAGAAAATAAAAAAAGTATTTCATAGAATTGTGTTTGATTGGTCTATATAAACGATTTTCTACCAGTGTGCTATTGGGTTGAGTCCTGTTTAGTTTACAGAGGGTAGCGGAACCATGTATTATCGTTAGTTGTCACTAAACGGATTTGGTTCATTCCCTGATGCATGTATATGCATTTGAGGGAAATTGCGTTGTCTTCGTATCCTAAAAAATTGATTTTCTGAAAGCGTTAAGGCGTTTGATGAGGTGTCTATTGGAGAAGGAATCCTGAGTAGTAGGCAGCTAAAAACATTCTTTGCTGAATAAAATAATTAATTCTTTGGGTCATAGTTGTTCAGGCTGGGTCCACTATTGATGAATATCTTTTCACTGAAATTGAGCTTCTTAACACCTGGTAGAACTAATATGATCTCAGTTGATTTCACAGTAAAACTATGATTCCTGCGTGCCATTAGGATTCTTTTATAAAGTGAATGAAAAAGTTATCCGATAGTGTATACTCTTCGTATTTGTAAGCACTTATAGTGGAAATATTCGTCAACTGGAGTGATGGACAGCATTTCACTGATAGTCTCACATTCTTCGTAATTCTGGATGACACACAAATATGGCTGTATTTATCCTGAGTTTGAAGTATCAACTTTGGGTTATACTTAACACAACTGTATGTTCAATAGTAGATTTGTTTATTAGATTTATAACAGTGATATAAGATTGCTTACTTGGTGACATTTCGAGCATAAATTGTCATTGCTCATAATTTTATCAATGTAATCATACTACTTTAGACATTTGATTTTTATAGTTATGTTGTCTCACATTTTATTGGTAGTAAAATTTTCCATATCTCTGGTATAGGTGTTGCGTCATTTCCATTACATGTGTTGCGTGTAGTTAAATGTCTAAGTGATAGAGCTAGAAGACTGACTAGTCAGTGCAAGAACCTAAATAAGGAATCTAAACATGTAAAAGAAGCGCTGATAGTCAATAATTATCCTCCGTAGTTTATTAAGAAAAAAGAAAAAATCACAATCACATGAGTAGGGATAATAACGACAAGTATAAAGTTCACAGCCTCCATTGTGTTAACATACAAGGAAGGCACATCAGAAACTTTACGCAGGGTCCTCAACAAAGCTGGATTTAGGGTGGCATTTAAACCTACAAACTCACTCAGAGATAACCTTTGTCGGTTGGCCTAAGGATTCGATAGGACAAACTAAGCAAAACAATATAATCTATCAAATTCCATTTAATAAATGTGAGGTCAAGTACATAAGTCAAACTAGCCGATCGGGGTCTTTTAGAATGGCCGAACATAGGAATTTAGCTAAATGTAGAATGAGAGACCTGAATAAGATCAACAATCTGGAATATACGCATTGTCATACAACCATACAATTGGGTGAGATAAAACCACTATATTTAAGTTCAATAGAAGTGGGTGGAGAGAGAAATTGATAATTGAATCTGTGTTCATGGAATCAACACGCGACACATGTAGTAGAGATGACGCAACACGTATACCAGAGATATGGAAAATTTTACTACCAATAAAATGTGAGACAACATAACAATAAAAATCAAATGTCTAAAGTAGTATGATTACATTGATATAATTATGAGCAATGACAATTTATGCTCGAAATGTCATCAAGTAAATAATACTATATCACTGTGTTATGGAGCAGATAAACAAATCTAATATAGAATTAAATTCTACCTATGTTGAAGGCAACTGCACATTATTTGTTTTAGAAAGGCTAATAAGGTATGGTGGACTTATTGTTAATGGTCAGCAACGGATCATCTGCAATCAAATCATGCTGTCAACAGCTCACTTAGGAAGCAAAAACTAAATACTTTTAAAACTACATGTATAAAGTAAAATAGATCATTATACATTTTTGTCACTACTATGTTACCAAAACACTGTCATTACTACATTATATTTTTGTAAACTAGTGCATCTGTATTCAAGTGGTGAGTGTAATACACTTGAGAGGAATATACTTTTGCACGTACTTTCGGAAAATTGATGACTGGATGAATTGATAGTCAATCGAAAGTCAATAACCAACTTGATGACTACCATTTCAAAAAAGAAGTGAGGAACGAAAATGAATAAGGAGATTTTACAAGCACACAAAAATAAGAGTAAAGTTTTGCTCTAGCATTTCCCTGATCATATTTCCTTTGTTCTATCAGTTACTCATTGGAAAGACATTTATTACTTGTTTCCTTCTACAAAATCGGAAAAAATTAAAAGCATTTTGCAATAGACTTTTGTGTGTGCAAGTGAAAGTTACAAAAAAGTGATTTGTATCATTTTCTCGACTGAATTTCATAAAGCAAATGTTGAGAACTGCACTCTGATGCAGTTTTAATTAGAACGATAGCGGTTGACTGATCTGTAAAATGGAAAAGTGTTCGTTAAGTCGCTATTTTGGAATGAAGGAGAACGGTAGAGGAAATTGAAAAGAAACCGAAACAAATGGAATAAAGAATAATTCATCCGTAGTTGAAGGTAGGTAGAACACTAGCGTAATGAGTTATGCGGAATATTCATTGCATGTATACTATTCTTATTGAAAAAAATGATCTATCTTTCTCCTCAACCTCATGGAACTGTAGTACACGTTCAAAGTTGAGTTTGATAAAAAGAAAGGTAAAGATTTGTTCAACAATGAGAAATATATAGTGTGTACAACAGAAGGGGAAGTGGACTTCTCACCTTACATACCTGCTCGAATCTGTGGCTTCATAAAGTTGCGTTCAGTCCTCAGTTTGTCAACAAAAGAATTTTTGTTTTCGATGGATCAATATTTGAAACCACATAACTTAGAGGGAGTGAGCTATTTTTATTGCAATCTGAAGAGTTTGTCCACTATAGTGAAGCTGTTTCATTTTTCAAAGGAAAACTATTCAAATACGGAGTCCAATATTCTAGAGAACAGAAATAATTGAAATAAAGGGACGAGGAAGGATTCAGCTGCCTCGATTTCTGATTACTAATATTCTGAATAATGGAATGTTGTACTTGTGTAGAGTTTTTATTTTTGCATGGTATTTAGAAAATATATAAAACTTGGCAGAACGTGATAATTTGTTATTGTTATGCTGATTATAACAAATTCTTGTTGTGTTCATCAGTGCTAGTTGGATTCAAACCTCTTGAAATCATTGATCTGGACTGTCACCTATAATAAATAAATAAAAGCTGTTCCTTTGGTTTATTCTATAGATAATAAGCAACAATTATCAAATTAGTTAATTACACAGGATGACTGTGCTTCAGAGCACATGCTTCACTGGTGTTCTTCAATACGCTATTATTTAATGTAGTTATGAAATTTCACCTTTTTTGCACAGTAAATCACTAACATTACCCGTGAATTATATCGCTGTTAACCAGTCAGGTTGTCGAACTGATAGAAAATGATACCAGCGCTCGATTTTATCTGAGTTGCAAAATGTTATCTACTTTTGTTATAGTAGGTGACGGAAAAATATCTCAACGAGACAAAGAGACCGACTGCAGCTTTCAGTTCTTCAAGATAAGAAAGTGAAATTCACTACTTTATTTAATTTTGGAAGTAGCAAAGTGACTAACATCGCGTTCTTTCTTAGAGAAAGGCTTAAGTGCTCCCGACAACTTTCGTCATTTAAAATTTTCAAAGTCAGCGTGATATTTTTGCAATGAAATCATCCAAAAATCCAAAATTTATGTCATATATTTCTCACACTTATACCACACCAGTATAGTTACTATGAATTATCATTGAAACGTTTTTCTATGGTTTTGCAAATGTTTCGTTTTCTGTAACCTGCTAATTTGGAGTATGTTAGACGAAAAACAAATATCAAACACTCCAAAAACATTTAGGTAAATAGCATTTGAAAATTAAATTCACTCAAAGTGGCCTTTTGTCTGGCAACTATGAAACTCAACTAATTGTCTGCTAGGCATCTTACATACTTGTCTTCAGTCATTTGCAACGTTATTTTCTTTGGTCTGGGATTTATTTAATCTCATTCCAGTCTGCGTTGGAAGCGCTTAAATCCTCTGAAATCCTGTCAGTAGGTTCAGCAATATCTAAGACGCAATCACTAAAAGCCGTATACTAATACAGTCTGAGGAAATAATTTCTGATAAAAATGACATATTCAGTTATTAGTGTAGTTTGAGGAGTTTTTATTTGCATCAACGAGTAAAATATGGAGCCACTTCTCAGAAGAAGTGATTCTGCACCTGTCCCAGATATATGGAAAATTCTACTACTCTTATCATCACAGAGGAGAGAAAATTAGGAATACATAAAGTCTGTCTTGAAGTTGTGGAGTTACCTGATAGGAATATGGACAATAAATTGTGCCCAAAACGTTATCCAGTAAATGCCACTGTTTCACTATGTGGTATTTCTGATAAACAGACTAAAATGAAATAACAATCCACCACACTGCTCAAGTTTTACTCTTATATTAATACAGGTAGCTTCTAGACCATATAAACTTCATGAAGATTCATGTTAAAATACACAAGATGTTACACAAATTGCTTGAGGTCGGTGCACAGAAATAGTAAGAAGTCAGTTGAAATACTAACCTGGCATCACGGTTCATCTCTTCGACTGACATGGATCATTGAAAAGAAATGTTGCGGAATTGGGTATGGCTATTTGATTCTTTAGTCTACCCACTTTGAGCGTAACTTTACAAGGAGCAGCCTGAAAAAGAGTCAATATTTAGTGCGAATACATATACTGCATATAATGAATAGTTGTTATTTGTATAAGCCAGTTACCCTGAATATCTTTTTTTGCTTAGAAGCCTCTGTACTTTTTCATCCATACTCGCTTTTAATGTCTTGTGATATATCATTTTTTTACTGAGTTCTTGAACAAACAGATCATTGTGTACAAAATATTAATTTAGATATTTCTCCGAGGACTTTGAAATCACAGTAGTCTTGCAGGAGGTCATCTCGGTGCCGAATATGACTACACTGAACAGCATAAAGCCTGTGTATAGATTTTAGAAGCGGTGATAATACACTTTTGAGATAATAAGAATTGTAATGAATGAATGGTTGAAAAGCTTAGACTTAACCCAGTTATTTTACGTAAACTAATGAAGAAATACTTGGGATAAAACATTTTAATGAATACTTGATAGTATTCATCACAAATGAATTAAACTTGTTATCTGAAGTTTTATTCTGAAGAGAAATCCTAAGCTGAAACTTGCCCCTACTAATTTAAAACCATACCATTCTATTCAAGTATAAAATGTAGAACATATTAGTTGTACCACAAAAGTTTACCTCGTAGGCGTATACACACGTTTAGTGGAACTAAGTCCAAGGAGTAGGTGTGTTCATAGGCCACTGCGTTGGTCGAATTGAAGTTTGTTATATTAAGTAAGAAAATAAAGAAACAAACTCACCTTTAATAAAGCACCAACTACTTCACTGCTAAGACCACTCGTGTTCTTGCCATTTACTTCAAGGATTTGATCATTTGGCATGAGACGACCATCTGTTGCAGCCAAAGAACCCTTTATCTAGTGGACAAAATGGGAATTAGTAGTTTTTAAAAAAAAATTGCTACAATCAATAAATTTTTATTAAAAGACAACAAAATAGATAACTCCGTCTACATGAAGTTATAATTGGGCAAAATGGAAGTAACTCTATCTCCTGTAGTTCCTGTTCCTGTCAGATAAAATAAACAATCGAGCTTTCAAACTAATGACACCACTTCTAATATGAAAATAAACGAAAATGGAATTTTCAAGGCTCTCAAATATTCTTATCTTGATCGCATACATCTGCGATCGCGATGACTTACAGAAAGTGTAGCAACTAAGTTTTCTGAATGGGATATAAGTATGTGACACACTTTAAGTTAGATGACAAAACAGTGATTTAAATGTAAGATGGTGTGATTCACAATATAAGTATGTATCTGTGTATACATGTGGAGAGTAGGAATGGTGTTTTTCTGACATGAATCGCTAAAAATGACCGAATGGTTAGTTTGAGGGAATACTTAGAAGCTTGAAATTATTATCAGGAATCGGTGGAGAAGAAGATGGGCTATCTTTTGTCAATACTTCCTAGTGGTTCACAGTATGAAATTTGTTTTGCAGAGTATCTTAAATCAAAGGAGGAGTAGCTTTGCATGACTACAGATCCTATGCCATATCTGCTTCAGAACTTTCAAACATAGCTTAATTAGAACTGCTGGATAAAGATTCGATTATTATAACGTTAGGCAA